GGCCCTGCCCGGCGCGGCCAGCGGCTGCGGGCGACCCCGATCTGGCGACGTCCTTGCTATGGGCCCGGCGTGCCTCGCCGTGTTGGGTTGCCCGTGGGCGAGTCGGCGACGTTGGCCAATCCTAACCACGTCAGCCGCTTGGGGCCTCTGCTGCCCAGCCGAGTGAAGGGCACAACCGGCAGCGCTTCTATCAGCCCCATAAGGCCGGCATCATCGGCGCCGTCATACCCCTGGAGGAAGGAAAACAAGGAAGTCACTGACCAAACCCACAATAGCGATCAACAGCCAGTCTCCCTCCCACATACACCTACGCCGCAGGATGCTGTTGGGCTGTTGTTGGGCTGCTGGGCTGTTGGGCTGGGTGGTTGGGGGGTTGGGTTGGGGGGTTGGGTTGCGGGGAGGGAGGGGTTGGGTTGGGGGGGGAGGGGGGGGAGGGCGGGGAGGGGGGGGGAGGGGGGGGGGGGGGCGGGGGGGTTGGGTTGGAAGGGGGGGGGGTTGGGAGGGTGGGGGGGGGGGTTGGGAGGGTTAGGGGGTTGAGGGTGAGCACTCAACCCTCAGCCGGGAGCCGGAGCCATAGCAGCTCCACCCGCCTTGCAAGGGCCAGCCGTCTTTCCGGTCCCAACGTGAGCCGCGCGGGTTTTGGGGTGGAGGGTGTGGCCCCTGGGGCTAGACCCGCAAAGGCCAGAAATACCGCGGGAAGGATGTCTTTGGAATGCTCCGGACCTCAAATTCAGAGCTGTTCTTTCTGGAAGGGGTCCCGTTTTCAGCGATTTCGGAGAAGACCCTTGGAGACTGTTGCTTTTTTTGCAGAAGGGGAACCACTCGTTGTTGTTTTTTTTTTGCGGGGTCCTTGTCCTTGGAGACAAACCCGAACAAATCGCTTTGGCATTCAAGCCGACTGTGCGCATGCGAGGCTTTCTGGATGCCTGGCAATCTCGAACCAGCGGCTTAGTCCCCGCGACGCTGTGCAGTGGAATCTGGTGATTCCATTGGACGGGATCGTGTCTCCGCGTTTGGAGTGGCTCGTGCATGATTCAAACGAGCGTCAAATCCAGGGTTCTTCAATACCAAGCCCAGCCTGGTGATGCCTCCAGCAACATGTTCAACACAGATCCGTCGTCACTCAGAAATCCGACAATAACATTTGCGTATGACTTATCTTGAATTTGCCTAGGGAAACACCATGGACCCATGGCCAGTTTTCCTGGATCCGCTGACAAGAGCTAAGAGGACACGCCCATGGAGAAGCCCTCAGATACAGAAATTCCACTAAAGTCACCAAAGCCATACACGACTGTTGTCCGGCCAAATGAAACTCTGCTTCTTTACTAAGCGTCGCTTAGTGAACACAACGTAACGTGTGTAAAGTAAAATGCAGACACACCACCGACACTCCACGGGGTATGGGTCAAAATAGCGGCACCCCCAACAAAAGTGGAATTTTGCTTTCGTCTCCCTTTAAAAACTACCTGCTGCTTGGGTATCCTCAACACACATCCCACACCTCTTGAGGCTACGTCCACGCCTCCAGCGTCTCAACTCGGCCCTGCGCACAGTTCCCGCAGTGCCAAAGCAGCCGCAGAGCCTGGCACTGATCGATGCTCAGAACGCCCTTTTACCGCTTCGTTTTTGGGGGAGGGTTCCCGTACTGAAATAGACTACAGACAAACGGGTACCCTTATTCTAATCTCTCTACTGGAGGACCTAGTGGCTCTGGCGTCTGACTCCGGCACAGCCCAAAGTGATTTACACAACCTAGCATGCATGCTAGCATGCATCACATGATGCCAGCATGCATCACGGATGCTAGCATGCACCATATTGAACCGAACCTGCCCATTGGCAATTGGGCCACCTTTCGATACCTCTCCATGCACCTGACTTGTGGAGCTCGTGCTTTGGCTTCATGCCGGCGCGAACCGATGCGCGAGCCAAGCGCGCCTGCCGCAAGATATCCCTGGAGAGCTCGGCGTCGAGTTTCGGCCTCAATGCTCAGCCCCGCCGCCGCCCCACCACCAGAGGCAATGTGTCGCGTGGCTGCGAAGGATGCCGAAGAAATCGGAGCGAGGCAACATCCGCGCAGCACTCAGCAACTTTTCTCTGCCTTGGGCAGACGCTCTGAGACGGTGCAGCCAGAAGCCCAAGAACACTGCAAAACAAGGCCACACGCCAAGTGGCTCATGAGCGAGGATCGGACTGGCCTCCCAAGATGAATCTTGACAGGGTTCCTTGCAAAGGTGCCACGTTTGTGGAAGAAGAAGGGTCTCGGGCAAATTTCAGTTGCAGCGCTTGGTCCAAGCTGCGCCGTGGGTGAAACGGGCGAAACCGCGACAAACTTTGTACGAACGAGACAGTGTTTGCCTCGGGCCTGCATTGCCTCGTGGACATGCTGATGGGAAGTGCTGGGAAGTGTTGGAATCATGTGACCCGCCAGAACCTTTGTCAGTTCCAAGCCATTTTTCTATATATTGTAGGTTGTTTTTACATCGATGTGTTTTTTGAGCAGTCCCTTTTTGCACCCGGAATTGCAGGTTCCGCAAGCTGATGTTTGTGTAGCTCTGCGTCACGAAAAAACAACCGCTTTGCCACTTCTCGTCGTCGTGATTACCTCAGCATGAAGCCAAACTCGACTGCGAAAAGCGCTCCCAATGGGCCCGTTGGCACATCCATTCTGGTGCAGGGTTCCCAACATTTCCCCCTCAACATAACCCCAATGCAAAGGAAAATCCCGAAACATGGGGGGAATGTTCAAAACCAGCAAAAGGGCGAAACGTAGGGAAACCTGCGGCATCTTTACGAGCACAGTCTTCTTTAGATGTCAAGATCTGGAATATCACTCGCTTTGTCCAGAGCAAAAACACTTATTTAAGTCTGGGCCGGTCCACGATCCACCCTATCATTTCCAGATATGGCGCAGCGTAGCATTCTGACATGTCCTGGTGCATTCCAAGCTTCTTGGTAGTCACGAGCGCCGATACCAAAGAATGAAGTGAGGGTAGGCCTGGTAGTGGTCGTACACAACCTCCAGTACATCGCAGGAGGACCGAGAGACGCTTCCCGCAGACGTTGATCATTGTTGGGCGGTTCTTACTGGTACCCACTTTCTTAAAGGGAGTCCATACAGCCCTGCAAACCCTACAACCACCAGACCAACCACCGCAACCACCAAACCAATCACCACAACCACCACCAACCACCACCAACCACCAAAACCACCACACCTACCAACAAAACAATCAAACCAAACTCAAAAACCATTAAACCATCAAACCAACCACCAAAACCATCAAACTAACCACCAAAACCACCAAACCAACCACCAAAACAACCAAAACCACCAACCCAGCCTTCGAAACAAGCAACAGTTGTTGGTTGTCCCCTTCAAAGGGTCCCACGCGCAAAACACAGGTCCCAGTTCCTTCCCCCGTACCGCGCGGCCATCTCTCGGTAGGTGTTGGAGACCTGGGCGGATCATTTGGGCGAAGCGGGCGGCAGCCTCTGGCAACATGAAAGGCTCACCGTCCATCCAGAGTTTAGTGCGCTCTTTTTGAACAGGGGACCCCTAAAATGGTCCGTCTCCCGTCGTTTCGCTTGGAAAACCAACCAAAGGAAAGTGTGCTTCAAAATAGCGGACCCAAAACATGGTCGGTTTGCCCAGTTGTTTCGCTTTGAAAACCAAAAGCGGGTTCCCCCAAAAAGAGACACACCCATTTGAAGAAGTGGCCCTCCATTCACTTCCAATAGAGTTGGGGGTTGACCAAAAGATCCTTTAGATGGGATGACCATTGGGGAAACTACCAAAAAGATGATACGTCCCACTAAATGGAAAAAGCTACCCTTGGTCATTTGGTCCAAGGTGCTCTAAAGACCCGCCCCAAGGGCGCAACTACTAATTTGCTCCTCCAATGGCTAATTGTCTTGAAGCACCCCGCCCCGGCCCCACTCCAAACATTTCGCGTTCACTTCCCCGTTCTTTCCAGCGACCCCTCTTTCCACAAAAACGAAACCCGAGGTCATGGCAGGTGTCTGAGCAGAACGAGGCTGAACAAAACGAAAGAGGAATCAGGCCTCTGAGTGAAAACCCGCTGCTCACATCTTGTGATCCAAATCCCTCATTGATCCGGATCCCCTCAAAACGTGATCCAAATGACCTCACAACTTGATGAACACCCCCAGCTCACATCCTGCCAGCTTTTTTTCCCAGAATCAATCTGGCATCTAAACCTATCCAGGGCTCTAGGGTGGGGTTGCCCAACCCGTTTAAACACCCCATGACTCAGCGCCCGGCCTTGATGCGATCACCTCGGATCAACAAAAGCTGGAGACGGACCAAAAAGCAAAACCTCCGATGCCCAATGGCCGTGCGAACAGAGGGCATCCTTTTTTGGTTAGTTAACTTTCAAGGGGAACTCAAAGAAAAAGGGGCGCCACTGGGCAACTGGGAAACCAACCATGGATTGAATGCAAACAGATACCAGGATACCAGGGGCCCATAAAACAGATCAAGGATGCCACCCAAAATCAGCTGATTTAGAGGATCCTGTAAAAGTGGAGTATTGGGAGGTTCGTAAGGACGCCTCGGAAACTGTGAAAAAGAGAAACAACAAAGATACTCCCCCGCAAACCAACATAGCGCTCACAAACCGCAAGCCCAATATTAGACATAGCCACCGGACACCGGTGACTTTCCTGGTGGGGAGTGCGGGACAATGCTTAACACGACATCTCCCAGGCTTGGTTCCCCTAATAATTTTCAGGTCGGGTGCAACGATGTGGTTTGGCAAACATGGCTTTTTGGTGGTTCTATTATGAGTGTATAGAGCAACCCCACACAGATGCCATGTTCACAAAAGTGAAAACAACCCCTAGCTCCTCCAATAGAGAGGTTAGAATAAGGGTACCCTTTTTTCTGCAGTCTATTTTAGTAGGGGAACCCTCCCCCCAAAAAGGGTAAAAGGGCACCTAGCTGGGGGACCTAGACCCTTTTGTGTCTTTTGCAGGGTTCCCTCCAGTCCTGAGCTGGAAAATCAAATCTCATTAACATTTCAGACCTGAATGGAGGCTTGGGAGCAAAACAGATCAGAATTCGTTAAACATGTGAGTGTGGACCCCCACAACGGTGGGTTTGTGAGCAAAACAGTTACCCTTCGTCCCACTAACACAGCACCTGTGGGAGGGTACGCAGAAGATCAAATGTCCTTACAATGCTAGTGGAGTCTCAAATTTGGATTCGAGGGGCGAAACTGTCCAATGAGCATGCAAAGGAAGTGGCCACATCAATGATGCTGTGCCAAGTGTTGAGCTTGGGCCAAAGGGTGGTTTTTGTTTGTCACACAAAGCTTATGGGTCGGGGCACAGCTCCTGATGGAAGGATGGCACAACTCCTGAGTTTTGTTCCGCCGGTAGCCCAACCCAAAATTGGTCACCCAGCTCACCTCGCTCCCCGTCCTAACCTGGAACCTGGTCAGGCGTGTTGAATTCGGGCCAAAATGCCACTGAAAAAAAAAGTCTGCACAAACTACGTCGGATTTCCCCGCAAACCTTCAAAGCCCATAGGATATCTGACAGGCCCAAACTCCCAGGCTCTGCGGGACCGATTCGTTTGACTTGTTTTCCTATGGCTTTTTGCCGGGGTGTAGCTGGCGGGTGGCATCCACCATGCGAAACTGCAGTGCTTGCTCTCGTGGCAATGAGCGGCAGCTTGTTAGGTTGTCTCGGTGTATGGAACCCCGAAACTGCCGTCTCGGCGGTCCTTTTGTTTCCCCAGCCCAACTAAGAACGCTCACACACACACACAAAAAGAAGAAGAAGAAGAACAAAAAACACCTGGCCTAGTTGGTCGTCTTATACGGACAAGGGGTGGGTTTAGGAAGACACCTCCAACCGTCCTTTTGCAACCAGTCGGCGCTGGGAAAGGCCGATCATCAATCCCATTTCAAAATTGGTGGACCCCTCCCAACAGTTTCGGCAGTCACCGTCCTTCTTCCGGGGGCTCGCTAGGTTCCAATCTCCCTCAAGGGGCTTCTTCTGGGCTCGCTAGGTTCCAATCTCCCTCACGTATGGGCCTTGCCCCGCTTCGGCAGTCACCGTCCTTCTTCTAAGGATCTGCTAGACGCCAATCTGGCTCAAGTAGGGGCCACCCCCGTTTCGACAGCCACCGTCCTCAGTCCTCCAATCTCCCTCAAGTAAGGGCCGGAATGGCAGACTCCAATTTGTGCTTCTTCTGGGCCTTGCCCCGTTTCGGCAGTCACCGTCCTTTCTTCGCAGGGTCGCTGGACTCCAATCTCCCTCAAGTGAGAGCCGCCCTGTTTCGACAGACACCGTGCAGCCAGCACCCCAAAAAGGCATGTTTTGTTGAGCCCCAAGACGTGCCCTTTTCGCTGTGGTTGAAATTGGGAAAAAGGGCCCTGCTGCAGCAACAGCGTCAAGCTGATAAAGTATGGGTGTCTCGATGCATGAAGCTCGTTGGTTTCCTCGTAGCCTTGGTAAAACACCATCCAAAAGCGGGTCCCGGCCCCCCTCCATTTTTGGACCCAAAGAGTGAGGCTAGACGCAAGTACCTCACTCACAAAGACTGCAAGCTCCCCTCAAAGTGCACAAAAGCGCGTCTTTCAATATAGGCCTCGGACAAGCACGGGCCTCTAAATTCTGGTGCCGGCTGGCCAATGACGGAGTGGTACGTTCCACTCATGCAGCTGTGCTCCAGCTGTCTGCGTCCTGGATGCAGAAGAAAGCACACAACTTGACGCCACAAGCCGGAAGAATGTGCTGTGTGTTGCCGGGTGTGCCTGGTGTGCGTGGTGTGCTGCATCTTGTAAGGTGTGCGCTACCTGTTGCGTGTGTATGGATGTGTCATTCATGTCGTGTGTGGTCTGCTGTGTAGTGTTGTTGTTGTATGTTGTGAGCTGATCGTTGCTGGGAATGCCGAACCTTGCGGTGTGGCTCCTGGGTCGTCGAAGGGCTTGGGGGCGTCCACATAGTTTGGCCGCCCCAAAATCACCTCACGAACAGGCCAGTTTGTCCCGCTGCACAGCAGCAGCTTGTTGCAAACATGCACCTTGCCAGCCACATGCCTCTCATTGACTTTTCTGGGAAACTAATGGGCATGGGTCCAAATTAAACCCAGACCGCGGGTTTTAGTCGATGTGTCTATTTACCGGGGCTCCATTTTGGGCACCTATTCTTGACCCACAGCCAAATGGGAACCGCCCGTCAAACATCAGCCTACACTTTGAACAAGCCAGGTTCACCTCGCCCGTGTAACTTTCCGGTTCCTGTTTGGCCTGCACCTCACGCCAAGGAGCTCTGACAATGATGATGGGAAACCTGGGCTCACGCTGCCCGGGCGCTCTGTCTTGCAGTTCGGCCTCTCTTCCCAGCTAGACGTGTTGCCAAAGAAACATGTTCTCTGCAAAAACGGCAGATTCGCTTCGGCTTCCCTTTGAAACAACCCCAAAACTGCCATGAGCTTAAGCCACCTGGAAGAAATCCAGTAGTGAATAGATTCCCTTTAAAACCAACAGGGGAAAACAAACATATTCTTAAGCAAATGGAAGAAAACGCGCACCTGCTCCTTTTAGGACATCCCCAAAATGGGGACACTGAGCCAAACCTGAGAAGCCCCTGGCGCAGCCAGGCGAGAAGGCGAAGCTTGGGCTTGGGGCCATCCGAGCGACTCGTTGGCCTCGTTGGGCTGGCAATACTCGTCCTAAGTCGGCGGCACGCGCAGATCGCCGGCGGATTCGCCCCAGTCCCCAAACCGGGGGGGGGAGGGGGGAGTTGAATGGGAGGGGGTCTGGAAAATCAAAAGAATAAAAACATGTTAATTGGCAAATTTTGGAGAGAGGCAGCGTGAGGTGTCCGCCGACATTGCTCGGCGTGTCGGATACTTACTAGAGGATAGAGGATAACCCCCCCCCTAACCCCCCCCCCGCCCGACGTCTATTACGTAGGTTTTTGGGGGGAAGGGGGCGGGGGGAGGGGGGGGGGGGGGGCGGAGGGGGGGGGGGGGTGGGGGGGGGGGGGGAGGGGGGGGGGTGGGAGGGGGGGGAGAGGGGGTGGGGGGGTCGCCCACGTAGCCGCGCCTCGGTGTGATTGCATGGCATTTGATGACGTTCCACTAAACGTAGTCTTCGGGGAGCCGGTGTCGCAAAACAGGGGTCCCAGGCTCGATTCCCCCTGCCGGCTTTTTTGCTGGCTTAATCTTCCTGCATCCTTTTGCCGAAAATCTGGAAAAACTCAATGTTTTTGGACGTCCTCTTTGCGAAAACGCTGGAAAAACCGTGTTTTTTTGCGGGAAATACTGGGGAGCAAAGGGGAAGTGCAAGGATACATACATACATACATACATACATACATTACAGTACAGTACATTACATTACATTACATGACATTACATGACATTACATACATACATACATTACATACATACATACATGCATACATGTATGTAAGCATGCATGCATGCATGCATGCACACATACATACATACGTACATACATTACATGCATTACATTACATTACATTACATTACATTACGTTACATTACATTACATTACATTACATTACATTACTTACTTACTTACTTACTTACTTACTTACTTACTTACTTACTTTACTTACTTACTTACTTACTTACTTACTTACATACTCACATACATGCATACATGCATACATACATACATGCATACATACATACATACATGCATGCATACATACATACATACATTACATACATACATACATACATACATACATACATACATACATACATACATACATACATACATTACATACATACATACATACATACATACATATCATACATTACATACATACATACATACATACATACATACATAACATACCATAACATACCATACATACCATACATACCATACATACATACATACATACATACATACATACATACATACATACATACATACATACATACATACATACATACATACATACATACATACATACATACATACATACATACATACATACATACATTACATACATACATTACATTACATTACATTACATTACAATACATTACATTACATTACATTACATTACATTACAACATTACATTACATTACATTACATTACATTACATTACATTACATTACATTACATTACATTACATTACATTACATTACATTACATTACATTACATTACATTACATTACATTACATTACATTACATTACATTACATTACATTACATTTCATTAAATTACATTACATTACATTACATTACATTACATTACATTACATTACATTACATTACATTACATTACATTACATTACATTACATTACATTACATTTACATTTACATTTACATTACATACATACATACATTACATACATTACATACATTACATACATACATACATACATACATACATACATACATACATTACATACATACATACATACATACATACATACATACATACATACATACATACATACATACATTCATTACATTACATACATACATACATACATACATACATACATACATACATACATACATACATACATACATACATACATACATACATACATACATACATACATACATTACATAAATACATACATACATACATACATACATACATACATACATACATACATACATAACGTACATACATACATAACATACATAACATAACATACATTACATACATACATACATACATACATACATAACATACATACATACATACATACATACATACATACATACATACATACATACATTACATTACATTACATTACATTACATTACATTACATTACATTACATTACATTACATTACATACATACATACATACATACATACATACATTACATTGTGTATGTAAGCTAACCAAACGGCACCACACAAGCAGTTGGTGCCAGGGACTCATCTTCCCCTGTCAGATGTCTACGGCTGGGTGGGCCCCATGGGCCACCCACCACAAACTCTCAAAAACTGAAGAACGGG